GTGGCCAATGTTGATGAGAGATGTCATCTAAGAAATTTGGAGAATTCCTGGTTGGGGAAGGCTGTGTTGCAGATAGAAACATAGAAACAGAGCAAGTCAGAAGGGGACTCCCGGGCCATCTAGTCTGACCCCCGGCTCCAGCCGGCTCCGCTCACGACATGCCCACCATGTGCATGTCTAGCCTGCCTTTGAACACCCTCACCAATGGAGCCTCAACTACCTCCCGTGGAAGCCCATTTCATACCCTTGGAATCTTTAACAAGGACCACAGGGCTGTAACTATATGTATGATGACAGAGAGTGAGCAGTGCGTACCATTGGTCATAAAGCCCCGAGGTCCTTTCCTATTTATTGAGTTATTTACAACAACTGATATCCTTATAATTACATCACAATATCCTTCTAAGGAAAGGCTGCAAGCTTTGAGGGGTCATGACCAGGACCCCATCAGTAGCCCACAGAAGTGATTTATTTATTATTATATTTATGGCCCAATTTTTCTTATGAACTCCAAGCAGTTTACATCATTCTTCTTCTGCTCTCAATCTTATCCCCACAACAACAACCTGTGAGGTAGGTTGGGCTAAGAGTAACTGGCGCAAAGTTACCCTTTTGGCTCCATGGCCAAGCAGGGACTAGAACCAAGGTCACCTGAATCCCAGATCCACACTCTTAAGCACTACACCACACTGGCTCTCCAGTGATTCTAACTTCTCATTACCTCCATCAACAGCTGCTCTTGCCCCTCCTCTTTTTAATCACTGCATGTTGTATTTAAAAAACTCAAAATATGTATTATTAAAAAAAGAAGCCTGGCACAAATCAAACTGGAGACAAGCCTAACAGATACTGCTTCAAAGTTAGTATCAACCACCTAGGAAAAGGTTAATCTAGTACACTCCACTGATCTTTGCTCCATGTGTGCTGGGTTGTTGGGAGGAGATACAGAACTAAAAAAGAACGGAAAGCAGTACCAAGATTGTGGAACAAGCATCAGTGCTAGAGAGGCAGCCAACCTGTTTATCTTCCTCAACCAGAGTGTTGTCACCTTCTCTGCTCAGTGCCGGCTATAAAATAGACCTTTGCCTCACTGCTGTTTCTAGCTCTCACAATACACATTGTATAGGGAACAAGTTTTGCGAACTCCTCTCACTTCCTGCTGGATCTAAACTCCTTAAGGGTTTCAGGAATATTCTATTCCTCAAAATCTTACCCAAGGCCTTTCTTCCAAAAAAGAAAGTCCATTAAAAAAACAACAATGCGGAAGTTAGGAGCAGATCTGGGGAATAAAATAAACCTAGTACTGTAGTGGAAGAGGCTACATAAACAAGAAGTAGGATCCCTACAAACTTTATACACATTTGCTACTCCTAATCAGATTGATTAGAGGTTAAAATATGGAGTTTCTGACTCTTTCATTGTAAATCCATCATGGAAGGGGGATCCTAATTTGCAGGCATAGTTGTAAAAACAGAGTTGGTAGGTGTCTATTATTCAATAGGCAGGACCTGCAAGAAAACATTGCAGCATGGAATGTTCTTGTTGGCTTTTTCCAGGATACGTCATTTCAGTTATTTGTTGTTCTTGATTGTCAAGGCAGACTGAACATATTCAGTTCTTGTCGCACTATTTTGAGATTCCCAGCCCCTTGGTTCTCTTTCTGAAGTACTTCCGTACCTCTGCAAATTTTGAGTAAGCCTGCTAATCATTCGAGTGGATAGTGCTATTCTGGCAACAATCAAGACTGGCACTTCAAGAATGAGCTTGCTATTTGAATGAATGATGATATTCAGGTGCATGCCTTAGCTCTGTACCCATAAATCCTGATTTCCTAGTACATTCCTGCCTAGAATCTTTATTCCTCTAGCTGTACCACCACCTACCATCTGAAGGTCCCCCGCTCCTGCAAAGGTTCAGGCCTCTTTCCCATGCCCACCCTCTTCCATGGAACTACCTTCCAGAACACTTGCAGATGCCACCTCTCTTAATTCTTTCAAGGTCCTCTTCTGAACCTGCCTTACCCTGGAAGCCTTTAGTGCATGCCCTACTGTAACTAGTCCAAGCCCCTGCAACCGAAAATAGCATGTTTATTATAGTTAAATCCCACCTTTTGTCCTCTGAAAGGGAATAAAAGGTGGCTTACATAGTCCTCCTCTCCATTCTATCATCACAACAACCCTGTGAAGTAGGTTAGGCTGAGAATCAGTGAATGGCCCAAAATCACCCAGGAAGCTTCATGGCCAGATGGGGACTAGAACCTGTTTCTCCTGAGTCCAGCCCCTAACCATTACATTGCACTTGTGCTCTTTCTCTTGATTTCTAGCATGCTTTTTTATAATACACTCAAAGCAGCTTACATCATTCTCCTCCTGTTGCTGCCAATTTTATTCCCACAACAACCATCCTGTCAGGTAGGTCGGGCTGGTCTGAGAGTCTGTGACTGGCCCAAAGTCACCCATTTGGCTCCATGGCTGAGTGGGGACTAGAACCCAGATCACCCGAGTCCCAGTCCCATGTTCTTAACCACTGCACCACACTGGATCTCTGCTTGCTTCTGCCCCCTTCTAATTCCTACTTCCCCTATAGAGAATTTTGAACTGCAAGTTTCTCAGGACAGTGACCTGCCATCTTTTACTTTAAAGCACCAGGCATACTAATGGCACTACATGAACAATAAATATTAATCCATCATCATCATCATCAATAATAATAACACTAATGATTTATGAAGTTGCTAGAAACCTTGATAAATCAGAGCAGACAGAGTTCTAGTAATCTGAGATTATTTCATCCTCAAACTGCAGGTGTTACATCTTTGATTCTACAAGGGTACTTGGTAGGTTATGCCAACGACAACGGAGCAGCTGAGGCACCCCACAAGATCTTACATTAGCCACTTTCAAATCTCTGCTAAGTAGAATTGCTGACCCTGTACACAGGAGTTCAGTAATTTGTAGCATTTCATGTTCTTGGGGCATGGAAAATCATATCTGATCCCTAAAACAATTTCCCCAGGTATCACTGGAATTGCAGTGCAACAACTGAAAGGCAGCAAGCTGGGAAAGGCTAGGGAATAGATGTTTCCTTCAGGAGGAAACCTCACCAGATATACTCCCTTCAAAAAATGAAGTGATACCACCTCTATATTATCCTGCCACCCCCTCACTGCTCCAAGAAATTAGCACAGTGGGCAGGTTCAGACAACATGACCAGCAGGAGTTGCTGTGATTGTTTGCTCTGTGAATGTCCCATGCCATGCCTGACAGATGACTGGACTCACCATGGGTTCTTTGCTCCCTTTGCCCCCCCCCCCCCACCCCAGGTCTTCAGGGTTGTATTTCAGGAGACACTGTGACAGGTCCAAGTCTCCCTCCCTGCTATAAGCTAGAGATATTTTTGGCTCCCCAGTGGGTTTCTTTTTTCTCCTTCCTTCTTCTTTCTTTGCAGTTTAACTTTCCCCCCACAAAGATGCCCTGTTCTGACAGCCACTGTCCTCTTCAAGGAGGGCTATCACTCTCTTTAGAGCCTATTAGCATTATTATTTTGTACAAATATTGTGAGACTTAGTTTGTATTGTTATAATTTAAATGAGTCGTGGTTCTGGAACTGCAGAGGTTTGCAGTTACATGAACATACAACTTTGAAACCTTGGCTAAGGCAATGTGTATGTGGGGTAGCCACCTTGACATTTCCCAAAGTGACTTGAAAAGATCCTGAACCTTTTTTTATTTTTTTCATTCTAACAGTCTTCATGGTAGTGCACAGTTTACACTTTCCCCTAAACTCTAGGTAGTTAGCAAAGTGCAAAAATGCTTTTCATCCCTCTTCTGGGGCAAAGAAGCTTTGACAGCTAGCTGTCAACATTCTGGATCCTTTTAAAGGGGGTTGTTGGCAGAGGAAGGGGGGAGGTTGACCAGAACATTCGCAGTTATATGTCCCAATCCCAAACCACCCACTGTCCTGACAATCCCACTCCATTTTAGTGTGTGCAGGTACACAGATTCAGGTGTTGCTAAATCTGTCAAATCTTGCATAGCTGTCAAAAAATGGAGAGCATAAAAGCCAGCCTGAAAACTGGCTCTGGCAATCTCAAGGAGAAGAATAGGTTAAAGGGAGGGGGGGATCTGAACAGCTTCTGATCACAGTGAGGAGTCATTCTGCCACTTCTGGAAATAGAGGTTGCCCTGAAGCCATTTAACAAGACCTTGTGCTGCTCTTGTCATGAGGCTCCATAGCTGATCGCTGGTGCCCATGATGGGTTTGGTCACGCAGGCTGGGGTGCACCAACAACCCCTAGAACATCCTCTAGACTGCCAGAGCAGCTTATTCCCTCCCATGAGCTACTCTGTGGGGATCAGCTCAGATTCATAGGATAGATACAACAATCCACTGTGAATTGTTTTCATGCATGCAAAAAGAAGTGAGAATCCGGGGGGGGGGGGGCAATTAAGACCTTCCATGAACTCCAGTCACCGAGCACGTCTAGACACGTCTGCTGCCTGGTTGGGAGCTGGTGCTAGCTCCTCCACACAGCCGAGATCTCCTGCTTCGTGTCTTGAGGCATTGCCGAGCGTGTCTTTGCAGAGGTCACGCACCCTGCGCTCAATTCACCGCCCCGCAAGCAGCCTCACGATCGCTTTCGCGTCGGAGGCTGCTGCCGCCACCACCCTAGCATCTCCGTTCTGCATCCAGAATGCAAGGACAGAGCGAGAGGCCCTGCCCGGCCTGAGCAAAGTCAGGATGCCCGTGTTGGCATCGCAATTCTCTCCTAGCCCGGCGGGATTCTAAATCCTTCCATGCAACGCCCCAGTGGATCGAGACTAGCGAACGCCTCGCATTCCCAGCAAATGCTCCAACCCGTTCTCCGCGGCAGGGCTTCTCCAACCCCTTCTACATCACCGATGCCCCTTAACCAGAGAGGGTTTCACTCACCCTTTTGTAAAAGCAACTTTTTTCTAATGCCCTTGAGAAAGGAATGCATGCGACCGAGCTCCCTTTACCTTTCAACGCTCCGGCGGCCACCAGGCTTCCTTCCTGCTTCTTCTCTGTTTCCTTTTGTGCTAGAAGGCGCGAGGCAGAAGACTGAAAATATGAAAGGAAGGATGAAGTCAGCCGGCAAAACCATAGATGCGAAGCCGAAGAAAGCGGTAGGGTTGCTATCAGCTCCCTCTAACGGTTTCGCTATATATAGCGGCTACCCATACCCTGTCGTAGAGCTCCACCCGCTCAGTTACTCAGAGGCCGGTTCTGCACGTGTTGGTTGGGAAGTATTGGTGAGAGCTTTGTCAGCTGCTTCCACGCTAGTGACACTTGCAGACACATGACTTAAATCATATCATGGTTAATGCAATGTTGCCAGGTAATAGCATGAAAACGGGCCTTGGCAGTGGTGGAATCTTGAGAAGCAGCAATGGCAGCAGGTTTGCAGTGGCCTCTTGAAATCAGATTCCTCCCCTCCCTGCCCCCCCCCACAGATGTACAGACTTTCCCAGGTTTGTAAACAATTGCAGTACTGCCTTGTTTTATTGCTATCATATCTTTGATGTTTTTCCTTATTATTTTAACTTGGTATCTTGGGTACATGAGCCACTTCAGCATTCTAAAATGTGGGTAGAATGATCTTATGGCCCCCAGACACCATCTAGAGGGCCATTGGAGCATTTGGCTTCCAAGATTTGAGGCTGGAAAAAGAACTCTGAGGTTGGCAGAAAGCTCACACCGTGGAGCTGAGGTTCCATGCTGGAATGGCCCTCTCATGCCACAGATGGCATGAAAGAAGCATCTTGACTGTGTCTCTGAGGTCACGGATACTACCTCAGAAAGCGGCTGAGGAGGACATTCCGGGGTGGGGGGAGGGAGGCGACTGGGTCCACTTGGTTACAGCCACCTTCCCTCCTCATCCAAAGCCCCTCCACTAAATGGCTGAAACTGGTCCAGCTGGTTTGCAGGGCAGGAGGAGAGCAGAGGCAACAATCTTCCCCATGCTCCTCCTGACTTTCATAGGTTGCCCACGATCCTCTAAGTTCAGAAGGTTATGGGCTGCCCCACTGGATTGCTCCCAAAATGGTATAAAGGTATACACACACTCAAACAAGTAGCATAGGTGGTATTTACCCGTATCCATCATATAACAGCGCCTATATGCTCTTAGCACGAACAACATCATGTAGCACCACATTGTCAAACTGGTTCACAATGGGTAGTGATTCACTTAAGTTGAATGAAGACATTGCCATGTCTTCTCTTCAGCGCTTCTGTGTCAGCCACCCATGGCCTCCTCTGCAGTACCATAAACTATCACGGGCTCATGTAAGGCAGCTTCCCACTCCCCCGTTTTTCCATTTTTCTTTTCCAACATAGGCAAATATCCAGATTTCAGCCTACATTTAGAAAAATGTGATTGCCTTTGTATCAGAAATATATATAAATATATATATATTGGGATGGCATGATCCATCCCAAGTGCACAAGTGCCTTAACAGCAGAGGAGGAGTTAAATAGCTCCACTGAGTCTTGGGGTGGTGTGGGGGGATCCCCTTGTGCAGGCATGTGCAGAAAGAGATGGACCATGCCCACAGGATTGCAGTAACAGCTAAATTGCTCATGTCCACGTTGAAATGTTGGGATTAGGTATCTTGAATGCAATAGGAAAATTGTACAGCATGGAATATCCTTCAACAATTAAGAAGCAGTAGTGCTCTGTATTTGACAGCTGGCATATAAAAATGGCCCATGCCTGACTGAATTTGAAAGTTGACATGTAATCAGTTTTTGACAGTATCTGACAGCTGACATGCATGATCAGTCCACATTTGAGAGCTAAATGTGCACAACAAAGGAGAATAGTGGAACCCCACAAAGGGGGAAACGTAATATTGTGATGAACGGTATCTGCAGGATACAGAATAACAAGTCATCAGATAATGGAGACAAATATTAGAATTAAACTACTGGGAAAAATAGTCTTGCCAGAGCATTGATTTTTAGCTGATATACCCAGAGAAGTAATAGCAGGAATGCTGAAGGCAATCATTGATGCCACTGAGGTTCTTTGTATTTATGATGTAGTTTTTGCTCTGCAAAATTAATGAATAAGATGTCACACTGGAATGAATTACTGACAGGAGTAATAAAGCAGGCTAAGAGACAGCAACAACTTTCTCCAGCTTTTATTGCTGTATGCTATTTGTCAAAGTCTGTGGCTGGGATGTGGGCGGCCAGAGGCAAGGCAAGAGCAACAGAGGGCCCAGGACCAGAGCAACAGAACTTCAGGCAAGGCGGAGTCCAAAGGCAGGGCTGAATGGCAATTCTGAGACATGGGTGTGGTACAGGCTGAAGTCAGGAACCGGAAGAATGCATGAGGACAGAGCACGGATGTGGCCAGGAACAAGCCAAGGGATGAGAACCAGGAGGACAAACAGAGGTGCAGGTGCCTGGGACAGGATATCAGGGTGGGAGACACGGCACAGCAGGATACACGGTATGGCAAGATAGATGAGACAACAGGAACCGGATGCAGCAAGGATCAGACAAGATGGAGGGGCTGAAAGACAGCTTGCAGGAAGCCCTGCATTACTGAGGCTACATGGTGAGGCAGGATACACAGGCAAGGCAGAATTTGGAACCACTTTCTCTTTCAAAGAGGCGTTTATGGCCTCCTGGACCCAGGTATGAATCCTTTCCTTAATTCTGCTGATAAGCCATGATGGACAAGGGTCAAGCATACAAGCACCTTGTCCACATCTCCAGGCCTCAATAACTAAAACTCATCCAATAAAACTGGACGAGATGGTGCTCTGGCTGTCTCTATTCATAGAACTGTATTAAATGCGGAGTCCAACTTGTGATGTATCTGAGTGACCTTATCCTCAAAGTGCCGTGCAAGTTCATCACAGCAAGCTCCCAAGGCTTTCACAGCTTCTTAGTTAGTGAGAGGCCGTGAAAAGCTCCCCCGGATGGCACGAAGAGGACACAGTGCTGGTGGAAAAGAGTTGTCTCTTTGCCACCCTTACACCACAGAATAGAGTGTATAAATAAGTTCTAAGCTGAGTCCAGTTGGATTCATCACATGTTTTCCTCCATCTGCTCTCTAGCCGTCTTCCCTCCAGTTTCATCATTCTCAGCTTCAAAAAAGACTAGTTTGAACCATAGGTCAAATGCTAATTGTAATTGCACTTTTAATTAGCCTCAAAGAAGCCTCCCAATGAGGTCTCTTAAAAAGCCTGATTGCATCAAGGAAAGGATTATTTTTGAGGGGGGTTTCAGAGTTGAGGAGGACCAGCCCTTCCCTCCCCATCAGCAGCCTCCACTCTGAAAATGCCCCTCCTCAATGCAAGCAGGCTTCTGAAATGGCCTTAATGCAGCAAGAGAGCAGGGGAATCATCTTATATCCAATGAAAGTGCAAAGTGCCAGGATGTTCCATCTTGTCTGCCGTGGTGTTGACTGTTCGGAAGCTCAAAGGTCAGATTCTTTTAAACTGGGAGTATGACTTTGTCATAGAGCTTTCCTGCATAAGGTATTTATTGTGAGCTCATGACTACTCACCCATAATTGTTTCTGGGCTCTTTTGACAATGGTGTAATTATTTGATTTGACTTCTGTTTTTTCTTAGAATAAGGGAAATGGGGAATTATATTAGGACAGGGCAAATTGTTCTGCTTCTGCTTTTGCATTTGACCTGTTCTGCTACAGCACACTCCATCTACAGGTTATGCAGGAAACAAAGCATACAAAGAAGCAGGGAACGAAGATCTGCATGAACAGAGCTCGGATTGGATCTCCACACTGCGAGAAACCTGGAAGAAGATACAACAATTGATCTCCTTGTGTAGAAAAGCCTGTTGACCCATTACAAAGATTCTGTTTACCAGCTTTCTTAAGAGCACTAAGACATTAACCTGAGTTATAACAGCTTCTACCTAAAAGCAGAAGGGATCCATTGCTTAGTTTGTAGCACTGCTGCAGCTTCTGAAAACAGCCGCCCCAAATTCTTCTCTGTAGATACAGATGAGATTAAATGAATACAGCAGCTATTGCTGTGAGGTGAAGCCAATGAATTCTGAAAGACAGTTAAGAGTCAAGAATGGGAATGCCATATGCACACATGTGTCTGGATACCATTTGAAATTTTAAAAAGAACTTCATCCTGATAAAGGCAGAAATATTGTGGGTGGGAAAGGCTGATGTGGAAAGAGGTTTGCAGCCTGTGCTGGGTGGAGATACATTCCCCCCGAAACACACGTCCCCCTATTTCTGTCTTCTCCACTTGGCTCTCTTGATGGCAAAACAGGTGGAATCGGAAACTAGGAATGCCTTTTGTTACCTGTACTGATTCTCCAGCTGTTGCCTTACCTAGATAAATCAGCCTTTGTCATCATTATGCATGCACTGATAGCATCCAGGCTAGGCGACTGTAATGCACCCTGCATGGGGCTGCTTCTAAAGAAGGTTAAAATGCTCCAGGAAGTACAGTGAATATCACATCTGAATCTGTACCAGTTATGCTGGCTCTGGGCCTGTTTGTGAGCACAATTTAAAGTTTTGGTGGTAAGCCTTAAAGCCCCGAGGTGGTTGAAACCAAGTTAGCTTAAGCGATGATTTCTTTTTTTTTTTTTTGAAAGAGAGAACTTGACAACCTTCCAAGCTCCTTTTAATTAATATTGTAGTGCCTTGTAATTCAAACTACCGTATTTTTCGCTCTATAAGATGCACTTTTTTCCCCCTCAGAAGTAAGGGGAAATGTCTGTGCGTCTTACAGAGCGAATGTGTGTGTGCAGTAAGTCTGTCAGATGTGCAGCATGGTGTGCCCAACGCCCGGGACATGCAATACCACCGTCAGCATGCTGTCGGCCCACCTGCACCACCTGGCACCACCTGGCCGGCACGCGCTCGGCACACCCTGCTCCGCCCTCCCCCCCGGCGCACATGAGAGCTGTGCCGCTCAGGGGGACAGGTGCAGAGGAGCAGGAGCCGCGGGCTTTAACCCACCAGCCGCCACAGAGAGACGGACTGCCCACCCCCACCGCCCAGGAAGACCTGCCGCCGCTGCGACACTGTCGGTCTGCCTGCACCACCTGGCCGGCATGCGCTCAGCGCGCCCTGCTCCGCCCCCCCCCCGGTGCACGTGAGAACTGTGCCGCTCATGGGGAGGGATGCGGAGGAGCAGGAGCCGCGGGCTTTAACCCACCAGCCGCCACGGAGAGACGGACTGGGACAGACTGCCCACCCCCACCGCCCACAGGTCAGTGTGTGTTTTCAAGTCTTTTAAATGAAGCCCATGGGGACGTGATGGGGAATGTGCCTGTGATTATCAGGAAGCTTTCCATGGATCAGAACAGTGCCTGCTTTATTAAGTTAATAAAAGGACCAATATCTGTTAGTTGATCAGACACATTTTTTTTTTAGGATCAGTGGATATTTGAACAGCATTACCTTCATGTATGAAGTTTATTCTTCAAAGGCTACTTAGTCCGCTGTGTGTTTGATTTACCGTACAATATCTCATTTTTTGTCAGAAGTTTTTTTCTATTATTTACTAGTAGGGCAGCGTGGACATTACCGGCTTTTTTAGATTTGTTATTGAATTGTCTGCAGCAGCTCTTGTATAACTGGTGTAGATTGTGGATTCCTTTAATAATTCCACTACTGACTAAGAAAATGATGTCAGTGATTGTGAGCAACAGAGCTTCATAAATTCTGACTCTAGCGATGATGAGTTCTATGGGTTCAACGAAAACTAGAAGAGTACTTGAACTTTAAAGTCTCTCTTTTGTTAATGACAGTGATGATGGTTCTTAATGCCACTGTTGACTGCTGTTCACTTTACAAGGTTGAAATATGGTATTACTGTATTCTGTTACAGTTTATTAAATAATTTAGTAAACCATTTGATTCAGAATATTTTTTTCTTGTTTTCCTCCTCTAAAAACTTGGTGTGTCTTATGGTCAGGTGCGTCTTATAGAGTGAAAAATACGGTACCTTATTCTCAACTGCCTTGTTTTTCATCATGTGATTTAATATATGCCTAGTGGTTTTGCTGCTTAACCTGCTAGTGCAGTAATACTCTTGCCTGTTTTGATGTTTCAGTTCACAAGTTAGTTTAGCTGTTATTTCATGTTACATTCTAATTGTTACCATTTTAGTATGTTGTGAGCTGCCTTTACCCTAAAAGACAGCCTGCAAATGTTGACATAAACAAATAAACCCTGTGCATTTGTCTCTGGAAATGTACCTCCCAATGAAGATCTATCCCAAATGTATCTGCGTCAGAAGATATTCTACTATAAAGCTGAGTGGTAGAGCACCTTTTTTTTACCTGCAGAAGGTCCCTGGTTCAGTGCTTAGCATCCCAGTTAAAAGGACCAGGTAACAGTCTTGAGTGTTCTTTTTGGTAGAAAGGTGTAATACAAATCAAATAAATCAATCAGTTTTCCTGTCTGAGATCCTGGAGAACAACTGTGGGTCAAAGTCAACAGTTTTGAGACTAGGTGGCCAAATGACCTAGCTTAGCATAAGACGGCTTCTGATGATCATATGAATCTGGATGCCTTCCAGATGTGGTAGACTGCTACTCCCATCATCCCCAGCCATCCAGAGGTCTGCTGTTTAGAGAAGGCTACTGTCATCCCAGGTCCTATAGTCAAATATGTTTGGATTGGCTTGAGACTCATAACTTTTATTCCTCCTCCGTCTCAGTCCTTTTCCTTGTCTCTTTTCAGATTGTAAGCCTGAGAAAAGCACTATATGATTAATGATTCCTGCAAGCCACCCTGGGAGCTTTTTGACTAATGAGTGGAATAAAAATGCTTAGAATGAATGAAGGCACTTGGACCTGAGACACTGTGGCCTTTATATATAATGCTGGAAGCTATAGACTTGCCAATGTCTCCCTCTAGCCCTCTGCTGCCATTAGTGCCCATCTTTTCACTGGTTGGTTAACTTTCAATGTTTTTTCTGTTGCTGATGCCAAACAAGAAAAGTTGAACCACAATGTATGAAGCTGGTAGAGGGTGGGTGTCATCTTTTTCTAGCTCCACCCCCTCAGAAAACTCTAGAATTCTCAGAGGATTCTGAACCGTTGGGGGTTTCAGTTTGAAGACCTCATTCTGAGCAATCAAGAAGGAGCCTTGCTTAACCCCACAAGCAGCCCACAGAAGTAATGGATCCTCTTGCAACTTCCTCAGTTTCCAGCAGGCTATGGGTGCTCCAGTTCTTCAGAAACCTTTTTGGAAGCAGGCAGCAGGTTACCCAAGAGGGGCAGAGCCCACAAGCAGATGCAGAAGAGAAAGATGATGTCAGAAGCGAACTCCTGGGTTGTCCCCTGCCTGATAGTGACATGATGTTATTAGGCAAGGAGATGAGCACTGCCAATACTTCTTCTCATGATATCTTTGAGGGGGTGACGGAAAGCCACAGTGAAGAGCTATCATTGCTGAAGGAAATGAGACTTGAAGACACCACCATCCCTGGGGATGAGAAGAAGCTTTCTGCATTACTTAAATCAACTGGGATGGGGATGGGAGACTCTGACGGCTCTGCTGATTCCATCATTAGTAACTCGGAGCAGCACCCACGTGAAAAAAATCATGCCACAGGAAAGAAAAACAAAGAGTCAGGTGACAGAGGAAAGTAAGTGATACATCATCAATGTTTACTCTCACTGGGCAGGTTCACATGATCATGGAGAAAGTAATATCCCTTTCTGTGCGTGCTGATCCGAAGCTGCCTAATTAGTTTAATTACCCTCGCTGGGTGTGGTTTGCTGGCATGTCCAGTTCTAGCGAGGTTGCGTAGTTGGCGTAGAGTTTACAAAGTACTCTAGGATCAACATTCTAACAGGATGGACAACCAGGAAAACTACTAGCCTTCAGTGTGGGGAATCTGAAATCAGTTTCTCCCCATGTTACCTGGACAAACAACTTCTTCTCTTTCAAGCTCTCAATTTACTTAATGGCAAAATGGGTATGTTATAGCCCTGCTTCACAGGAAAATGTGAAGACTGGGAATCCTCTTCATAATAAGCCCTTGTGTTAATTCCTTTCTGGCTGTATTACATGGGGGACTAATTAGTGTTAGGGTGGTTAAATCTGGCTATGATTGGCTAAGAATGCCATGGCAATAAGTTCAGTAAAACTTTTCTTCAGGTTGAATATTCCTCTGGTTGAGCAGACTAGTCCCCTGCTCATTGAAGTTCATTGTATGAGTTGTTACTCAGGTAGATGTGCATGGAAGGAGTTGTTAAGTGAGCACCTGGCCTGAATTTCACAGGCCTAGCTTATCATTCTGGTTGATTTCCAACTCTGTGGGATGCAACATCAGAAAAAAGAATCCAGTAGAACGACATTTAGCACATCCGTGCACACACAGGCCCTGTTTGTGTGAAGCCAGGTGTGCTGCGCCGCTGGATAGAGACCTGCCTCACTGAGAAATGTGCCAAAATGGGTGGCAGCATTTTGCAGGGTTTATCTGGCAAGATCACACACGTTTGTTTGTCTCTGAGCAGCTGCCTCCCAGGAATCAGGGCTCTTCTCAGCAGAGTGCTGCTTGCGGTCTTGTCCTGGGCTTCCCTGACAGACAGCCTGAAAATAATCGGAAAACAAAGGTGCTTTGCTCGTGGCCCTCAGCATTTTGCCCTCTATTTATTTATTCATTTATTGGTGAAGTAGGATGTGTGGGAATTTTCTTTGCTTTAAGGAACCTGCTAAGAGGAACTTCGGTGAGGTGTTGGGATTTTTAAAAACAAAACTTGACAAGTTACTGATAAGCCTCCTCGGTGGCCTCCATGAATGGAATTAATGATGGTGAAAAATTAAGAATTCAAGTTTTCGACAGAAGTGTTAAGCTATGCTGCCATGAACAATATTTAATGCAAACTTATCTTGTGAATAGGTTCTGTTATTCTGGAATACATATTATCATGGAGACTTTCTGGACCTTTTAGATAAAGATTAGTGGCTTTGTTCATACGTTTAACTAGAGGCCGCGCCTTCCAGAAAGAGATGATCCCTGGAATTAAACTATTTTAAGAACTTAGATCACTATCAATAGTGCTGATTTGTATTCATTCCAATGCATAGTGATATAGTTATTGTTACTGATAAGCTGAATTTGGATATGGATATAAGGGTGACGAATAAGAGCTTCCATCCCCATGATGAATAACAAATTGCAGAGATCCCTTTCTTGTGTGGAATGGCCATAATAACTGCACTTTGGATTTAGAGATGGAATCTCCCAGGTCCTAAGCACAGATGATGAAGTTTCCATGACTACAGGACCCATGGCAGAGATTAAGGACACTAGTACTGAAGAGGAAAAAGAACATCTACTGAAAGGTGAGGGAAAGTTTCTGCCCATCCATTTGCAGTTGCTATGCAATATTATTTACCAAATAGCTGCTATGACTTGACTGTTTATGTCATATTTGATATCTGAGATTTTAGCCTTATATTTAAAATAAAACCAAAAGTAAACATTATAACCAGGAATACTTTGTACTAGGTCAGGAGTCCCATCAAAATGGGTGAGAAATAAGCAAGGGTTGCAGTTTTCAGCATGTTCCTTGGCAGAATTAAATTCCACTGAACATACACAGTGCTGGCTCAAGCTATTTTACTTTCCTAAGCCAAAGTTAGTTCTGTTGCTCCTCACAACCACATCTTGTTATATTGAGAAGGGGGTTGTATTCCTTCATCGATAGTCTTCTCAGTTGGAGCTCCTTTCTGCTTCCGAAATGAGGGGTCTGCAGTTTGGTAAACTGTGGGAGAATAGGGACAAATCTGTTCCCATCTTAGACCCTTCTGTCCCACAGTGTAGGGTAGAGATAAGCATTTTGGCATGTGTGGGCACCAGACATTCCTTCCTTGGTCTCCACCAAGGTGCTGTATCCTTCCTACTTTTCATTATTAGCTGTTTTTTCTCTTACTGGTAGCTGTGATGGTGCAAAGCGAAATAAAGTGAGGGCCTTTGTCTGCTCCTAATCCCCCCTCCCCCCATGAATGCCACTGTGCCACATGTGGGGCTCAGAGACATTTTTAGCAATGAAGAATGCAGGTGACTGCGGGCCAATATTTTAATCTACAGTGCAACTTTTTTTTTTTTTTTGATAGCACGCAGGAGAGTTTCTCAAATTACCAAATGTGTCCACAGGCCCCAAAAGGTTGTCCATCCTTGTTCTGTGATGAAAAATGTGTTGTATCTTGAAAATTTCTCCTAAATTTTTAATCTTTCTCTACTCGTAAGTCTTTTCTCTAACAGTAAATGAAGCAAAATTATTCAGTCTCTTCTTTTTAATATGGGAAGGGATTGTAACTCTGAAAACCTGGTCTATGGTTTTTCTTTCAAATAGAAGATGTACGACTGGAACCTCCGAAAGCAGAGCTCTCTCCCTGGAACAGACTCATCAGTATGTACAAGCAACGCCGGAGGCTTCCTGCTTCTAAAGTGGTAATTATGTGATAGGGAGAAGCTTTGGAAAGTTTTTCTCTGCAAGTGGCATTTTTGTTCTGCAAGCAAGGATAAAAATGGGACTTAGGTTAGGAGACTGAAATTAACACAAGTCACAGCATGATCTTGCCCCCAGAGTACATCTGTTTCATCTGAAAATCAAAAGATTGACATTCACCAACCCACTTGGACAGATACAGAATATTCCATTTATGATTTATATATCTACAAACCAGAGAGTTATTCAAATTCAAAGAACAGATTAAAAAGACTATGGCAAAAACAAGGAATAGGACGGCAATAGGAATCAGTTGATGCAGCAGAAAGCAACTTGACCACCAGTGAAACTGTAGACACCAGTTTTCAGTCTTCAAACTCAAAATAGTCAATGAGCCCTAAATGCTGTCTGAAACAGCGGCACCCTGATCATGCCCATGCTGGTGGAGTAAAATGGGCCTTCCCAGGGAGGGAGCTCCTCAGTTTCTGTGCGGCTGTTCTGGAGGTCCTGTTCTGAGTAAGCCCCAGAGCAGGCATCAGAGGATGCTCGCAGTGCACAAACAGTAGGACTGTGTGATGAACCCGTTTTTGGGATGTGAATCTGTTCATTTCCCTGGGTTGGCTCCCCAGACTCTGGTCCACTTTGCCACAGCCCTGAGTTTGTGCTCCGGACCCAGCAGCCACAGGGTGCTCGCCCGCAATCCAGCCCCACGTGCTGTGGAAACAGTGCCCCTCTTCCCTGCAATTTGCAGCAGCCTTTGCTTGTGCTGAGGAAGGTTGCCGGTTGCGCAGCCCTTGCTCTCTGAGCATTTGCAGGCTTCCTCTCAGCTTAGCTTGCTTCCTAAAATTGGGTCAAGCATGAGAAGAAGTCTGCAATTGCCAGAGGAGTGGATTCTGCTAGGCTGTATCCCAACTCTTAACAAATAGGCCCATATAGAAGAAGACAGTGCTTGAGGTATCCTGGATTCAGACTGTTTTGGATATTAGCATTAAAAACAACACTAACTTAGGCTTGGGAACCCTCTGGGAACCTGTGAAGCTATTGTGAAATTGTTCACAGCAGCCGAAACCTGCTAATTCCCTTGCCACTGCTCATGCACAAGCAGGGGTGGCCTGATTTCCCTTGGGTGGTGGTGCCCAGTTGGAGGTTGTGCACCACAATGGATCGCCTTGTGCCACCTTTTTCACATGTGTCGCAGAGCAAGAAGCACTTGGTTGGGGGCTGTGCACTGCAGCAGAGTCCCCCCCCTCCCCACTCACCAGGGCAACGCTCATCATGTTGCTCCTCACGAGCAAGGAGCAGGGATGAGAATCGGCCGTGCAGTGCTGCAGAAAGGGGCACTGCCATTCAACTGATTCCCACATGGCTCATTCTGCATGCGCCAGAGCAGAGCTCCTCATGCTGCTTCCCAAGAGCCAGCAACAGGGGCATGAATCTGCCAGGTGGCGGCAATGGGTGGGAGGTGGCACTGGTCCCCCCCTTCCTCTATCCTGCTAGAGATGTGATCCCAACCTGGTGCCCACGAATTCTGGCACATCCACACACACAAGAAACAAACCCCCTCACACAGTAGAAACCATGAAGAATTGCTTCTTCTGATGTGTGAACTCAGCCAGTGTGTCAATAGCAGTTTAATCAGGTTGCTGATAAAGCACGAATTGCAATGGCAAAGCCTTTTGTGCCAAATTGGGAACAAAAAATCAGCCTAGGTTCTTCCTGAATTCTAGCAGTCACTTGTTTATTTTGTACAGGCTACACTGGACAGGTGATCATCCAGCCCAAGTGTGCTTATTTTTCCATGTCTAATGAGAACAGGTGCTCATCAGTGAGCAGGACCAGCACTACCAGAGAGCCTTATGGCTTGTGGAACAGAAATCAAAGAAAAAATATCGTTACCAGAGTGACGTACTCACCTCAGGTAGCAGCAGCTGGGAGGCAGTAGCAAGATGCTGGAAGAACGACCTGTGTGCCATGCAACCAGTTTTGTGCTCCCCCACTGCTTTCCGATGCAGGGGGGAAAGCTGTCCCACCATCTATGCAGACGATTTAATCTACAGTTGGCTATTATAGGTGGAATGGTGGGATATCTTTTCTTTGGTGCCTCAGGCACCAAAATATCTTGGGCCAGAACTGTCAGTAGATTTAGCAGGGGGTTTTGATGAATGCAGAGGGGAAGCTATACAGCTTTAGTATTTGTATATGATTGCAGTTTTTATTTTCTGAAATGTTGGTAGGCTAAAATAAATAAATATGGGAGGAAATAAACAAGCATCAAGAATTTAAATTAACCTCACTATCCAGAAGGTTTAATGCTATAAATGTTGCCCCGCTGTTCATCCAAATGACTGCAATGTGGTTTTGTCACAGTAAGTAATATTCACAGTAAGAAGCATACATGAATTTCAAAGATGAGCAGGTATATGAGACCCAGTCACTCTAAGGGGGATGTCTTGGGAGGCAGCAGCTTGAAGCTCTGAAGAAAGTACATGAGATTCTCACGTGTTACTATGCCGCATGCATGCCATCACAGTTCTCTGCCCATACAGGTAGCACACATGCGTTGCTGTGGGACTGGAGTGGATGGCATTGCTGCACGGTTGGCTTATAAGGTTCCTTAAGGAATAGGTATACCTCTTTGTACCCAGCCTACTTCCTGTGTTAGTGGTGAAGTACCAGGTAGATAACCTGGTACCCTCTGGAAGTTTTTGACTAGAACTCCCTTTGTATCTAGCCAGCTTGTCCAATGCTTAGGGATTATGGATGATACTTTGTAAAACAATCTGATTTTTAAATTTGCCTCTTATTTTTTCAATCCATTCTATAGTCCTAGACTTGTAAGAGCAGCATGCTATGACGAAGGCTAAAAACCTCACTAATAATGATAATATATTCTTTGTCATCATCATCATCATCATCATCATCATCATCATCCTTTAAAATATATATCACTCTTTGAGCAAAGGTACAATCCTTTCCTGATGACTATTCATACTAATTTTAAAAGGGAATGTAGTCTTTTTCATTGGTACATGCCCTTATTTGAAATATTGCAGGTGCATTTTATACATTGGTATTTGTCCTCAAGTACCAAAATTTTTATAAGCAGTAGCTTGCAATCCTCATGTATTTGGAGATAACAGACAAGCTGATGTTGAATCAAACCCAAACTCTTCAAACAGTGATGGGAAGACAGCTGGCTTGTTTTTCCCTAGATCTCAGAAATCTCCCTACCAAATCTACTTGCCTAAAGATATACAGTTAGAATCAAATAATTCTGAATGCTGGACTTTGTTTTGTGTACCGGAGTGGAACAGAGTTTATAGTCTCTTCACACTGTTCAGGGAAATGCTGCCCTGAACGTTCTTCATTTTGGAAGTCTAATTTAGGGCTGGACTAGAGGAGGAATAACCTTGTTAAATAATTATAAATCAAACCATATATTAATTATTAATTATGTACTAGTTATTAGATAATTAATAGTTAAATACTTGGGAATCAGTCATCCTTGTCAATGGACTGCCAATAATGGAGAGTCCTTCCAGTAGATCCAGATTGGCCTTCTTCTGCCTGCGCTTGCTCAAAAGACCTTCTATTGAGAATCCTTAATAGTCAGCACAGTGATGCATATAATGAGCTGCTGGATTATTTACACACCTACCCAACAGAGTTAGTCCTCACGCCTGTATTCTTTTCAATAAGTGTTAAATAATAACAGCAGACCTCTTAGAAGCACTTAAACCTTGCATTATGTTATGGCAAAACTAATCACAAAATAATTCACTGCCCTCGCTTACAGCTGTGCGGCTGCCATTGCAATGCTTCAGCTGTCATGACTGGCACCATTTGTAACAAGAAAAATGGTCACCGCGACAGTCATGAAGCTTAATGAATGGGTGATGCACTTGGACCGAGAGTTTAAGGCAAGTGCCAGGACACCTCCTGAACTCATCTGTATGCAGATGAAAACCCCGGGTGGGGAAGTCGCTTGACAAAGACAGTGATGTCCCATTACAGTCGAGAAGGCAAGGCAGGCTCTGAATGTGTGAACAGCACACCTTCATGTGTGAACAGCGCCTTCACAACTGACTTGTTAAGCCTATATTGCTGAAGAGATCACAAATCTGAATGTGATTAAGTAAGCCTGTGCTGTAGCAGAGGGCAGGCCACCCTCCTTGTGATGGGAAGTCATAGTATAGAAAGGCAGAGTATGCAGAATTTTAACTATCCACCAGCCCAGGGTGAGGGTAGCAGGGCTTTACCTCTGGGACCCTCCAAGCTGCTTTTCTTATTGAAACAAAGCATTGTGAAAGTGCTGCATCAGGCTGAAAATTCTCCTCCTTAAGCCTTTGGGTGGGTGAGGCTAATAATGTGCCTTTGTGACTATGTTTCTAATACCAAAAAGATGATACTGTGTTAATTTGTTTGATATTCTACTCTACCCCAAACTGGCTCGCACAACAGCTTCCCTAAAGGTTAGCAGTCCTGCTCCCTGAGGGCTTCATAATCGAAAGGTAAGGAGAGGCATTGCAGCCTAAGTTTTCATGGACCAGGACCTGCTATATCAGAGCATCAAGTATAACATTCAGTATCTAGTATGGGGTGGGGGAATCCAAGTGCAAGTCATGAGATCGAAAGGCCATGGATCGGGAGAAGGACAGCCTCGGCATTTCTGTGCGAAGCTCAAGTGTACGTACAGTGTAAGGCCTATGACCTAGCCTTGCTGTGCTGATAGAATACCCAGGGTGAGAAAAGAGACTGCGTTTCTGCTTGAGTCTTGAATAACAGAGTCAGACATGCTGACCAGTTGTAGTTTGGCAGTTTCACACTGCAATGTGCATTCAAAATGATTCTGCTAGTAGACTGAAAAGGATGCCCAGTATGGGCGAGTGCCCCTCGGGGCACCATGGCCGAGGTGACCACAGTGATGCCTGCCTGCCTTCCTTTGAACTCTAGTGGCTGCTGCTCAGGTGGGCCCCTCTCTTACTTTCCCCACAATGCCTTG